AAGGTTATTTTGTGAAAAAATTATAACATTTTATTTGTTTTTTAATATTTTTGGCTTAAATATATAAACAAGGACACATATTATATATATCATTTGAAAGATAGATTGATTGTCTTCATTCTGACATTATTTTTTTAATCGGTTACATAGTTTAGAAAATGTTAATATTTTAAAATATCGCAAACATTTTTTTTAACCTCTTATATCTTTTTTACTTTTTAATGGCGGCAAATAATATTTATACAGTTGAAATCAGCGTAAAAAGTACTATCGGTTTGCATTTTAAGTTTTCGCATAGCTGAACGGTTGGTTATCTTGATGTGTTCCAAGTGTTCTTACACGATATGTATTTGCATCTGCAAATATGACTTTTTCGATACATATCCGAATACATCTGTCTGCCAAATTCACAGTCTTTATTTAAGTATTTAAAAATACGTTCTTTGAAAACGAAATGAATCAAACCCAGATGATTCTATGGCTGCATTTCTTTATTCATTCTGAACGTTTGGAATAAACTTTTTTGTTTACTTATTCTTTAGAACGTTCCTGATGATATGTTAACGTATATTTCAATCGCATTCTGTTTATTCTGGCTGTGAAATGGGATTATCCGGAATGAATAAAGAAACGCAGCCTATATTTTTTTTGTTATTTTTATTTCTGCTTTGTTGTTATTTCTGCTTTGTACAGAAACATATCTAATTGGACTTGACAAGATATGTTGGCATTTCCATATGTAAAAAGAGGCATATGCACATGCGACTACATATCGTGTAAGAACACCTTTACTATGTTTGTGCGGCAGAATTCGTGAATTCAAAAATGGTTCCGTTTATGCGTAATTTGCGAATACATGAAATTTAGTGTTTTGAAATGGTGGCAGCGCACTAGCGAGAAAGTAAACAGTAGGGTTGTGTTTTTATTTTTGCATTTTTTTGCAAAAGGCGGTGGTACCTAGAAATGATCAATGTTATATTTAACTTGGTTTTAGTGCATAAGAATTTAGTGCATAAGAATTGCTTTTTCTTCCATTTTTCCCCTTAGCTAGAGACTGCAAGGAGGACCGGAGAACGTTCGGACAAGATCCCCCGGCAAGGACCAATCTGCGGCAGAATTCACAAAGTTAAAGAACATAATTTACAATGTAAATAAATGTAAATGTAAGGTGTGGTGGCTGAATCATCTTTGAGACGTTGCTTATAGCAAGGGGGCCGGTTTCCGGCTCGAAGGACCTTGAAAAACCCTGGCGACTTAATGGGTATAGACTCGATAAGTGCACCAGTGTTTTTTATTG